GATGCTGCGTTCAGGACAAGCATGGAAAACTCACCACTCTTATGCCAATACGGTCGTAATGATGCATTTAGGTACCTAAATGGAATTGCATGAGCATTCACGTGGTGGTTATGTAATACAGAGAATCGATAATAAAAAATCTACGTCGACAGATTTAAATAATCGACGTCACTGATCATTTCAAATAATTGGTGCAGCCCTAGCGTTCACACGAACGCGTTTTGAGCAACCAAAATGCGCCTGACGCCTCGAGTTGGACACTTGTCAGTATTGTCCGTACAGACCGAACGTGACTAGACACGCGTTTGAAGAGGGAGGAGCGTCTTCGTTTTTTTCTGGTCTGTCTTTAATGGCGGATGGAATAAAGATGATGTGATGGAAGAATATCTTCTGACTCCCTAACTGCATATTACCTTGACATGTCCTGTTCTGTATCTCTTGATAACTTGCCATTATATAATCTGTTTCTCATGATTCTTAAGATACTGTATGTACTCGTGTAATCTTATGGCCCATTTACTTGTAACTATGTCAATGGTCCTGGATATCTCTGACACTCTTATTTTGTTAGCTGACAAACTGTTTTTTTGTCCTGAGCCCAGTTTAACACAGCAGTCAGTTTAATGAGCCACTGACCCACATTGGTGCTAATATCTCCAGCCAGAACACCAACTGCAGATGGTCGATTTCAGCTAAAGAGCTCCTGTCCGTCTGTTTCAGGTTAGTGGGAAACGTTCAGGAAATCGTCACATGGAAAAATGAGTCTCTGATTGGTTGACGCGGCACGTCGAGCAGCTGAAGTAGTACTGGGTGGTATACCGTTKATCAAATACTGGTTTTTATTTTTGTTATGATATGAATTTTCTGAATACCAGACATACCGGTTTTAATAGCCTGAACACATGCGGAACGTTTCGTCGCGGCCGCCAGTGAACTGTTTCCCGGGGGACACGTTCCCTCGCAGCACCGCTATGTACATTAGCATGCTCATGTTATTGTTGGAGCAATTTGCTGCAGTGGCGGATGGCGATTCCGCTGCTTATATTGACTGACGTTAAAAAAATATCCCGTTTTCACCATCGCTGAATGTAGTAAACACCTCTTCAGTGACGTGCACGGTTAGATTTAACACGCGGTTATTTTATATGGAGACGTTATGCTGATGGAGACTTTAGCGTGGTTCTATTGTGAAAAGCCCGGGGGAAGAAGTTTTGTAGTGGAGTTGATTTGACTGGTGTGCAAGGTGAGTCGTACTGATAAGCTTTATTAAATAACATAAAAAAATAAACCCGATCATAATCTTTTAACCCTCCTCCTTCACGACCGGACCAAAATGCGTGACTACTGTCTCCAACCACCAGTCAGAGTAAAGACACAAAGAGGAGGGAAACAGCGACACAGACAGAGGTACAGTAAAAGAAAAAAAGTTAATAAGCAGTGTTTGTACATTTTATTATCAGCTGACCTGTGATGAAAAGAAAAATACCGTGATACCGTGAAACCAGTGTAAATGTTTAAAATACAGTGATATAAAATTTAGGTCATATCTCCCAGCTCTAAGCTTAAGTTCAATTTTGTTGAACTCGAGCATCGGCTGCTTAGGATGCGCCGCATGCATGGAAAACTCTCTCCCGCGCTGCTCCTAGATGTGCGTCCACCACTGACTTTGTATGTAAACTGGCTGCTTCGGCTGCTCATTACACGTTCGGTGTGAACCTGGCTTTTGTCAGCTTCAGTGCTTCAGAAAAGCTACATTTGCTCATCACTAACCACTTCACTCATTAATATTCCCAAAGAAAAGATGAAATATAAAAAATGTTTACCTTAACCAAAGATACAGATCCAACACATCATGGACAGCTTCTAAGTGAACCAAGTCTTTGATGTTTTTTGGTGCAGCTAGAGGCCAGCCAATATGCCGACAGACCCAGCCAAACGTTAAGGGCTCATCTCGACTGAACTGACGTGCAAACTGAAATAAGAACCACAAAGATATTTAAGGCAATATGCAAAACTAAAATAAAGCATTAATAACACTTTAGAATATTTCTAATAGCAACACCAATATGCTACACCTCACTGTAAATCACAAAGCCGCTTCAATTTTATCAACATAATATGACCATAAAGTAAAAGAGCTTAGAATACATTTTTTTAGGAAGTGTATAGTGCTTCCTTATTGTACGACACTGGCTGTGTCCAAAACGACAGGACGGGTCCTCCGGAGGACCGAGACTCCCCGGTCTCAGCGGGCCGGGTCCTTGGTAGACCGGGAAGACCGGAAAAAAAGAGGCTGTGAATTTGGACGGTCTAGCCTCCCGTCCTTACCCCGGCGT